GCAGTGAAGAATTCCTCTCCAAGTCCCGTCACTGTAATCACAGTAAAGTTATCCTGCATCCACATACATCTAGGGCCTGATATCAACCACACACCTTTTGACTCTTCATGGTTACCTTACAAACACTGTGGGAAGGATTCTTCTGGCCTATACTTCAGCTTGTCCACATAGCAGGCTACCTGTCCAACACATTTGCATAGGTTTCTTCTTCATAGGTCTGAGAATACACTTGCCCACCTTAATATATTAATTCCCAGTATATTACATAAAGTATAGAGGTAAGACACTCTACCAGCAGAAGAAAAAGAGCTCAAAAGAAAGAAAGGCTAAAGGCTGAGAAATTTGACCTGCAAACATTGCTTGGAGGCTCATTCAACAATTATTCTACAATAATTGATTAATAAAACCATTCAGTTTTAGAGCTTGGTGCAACATTCTGCGCTTAAATGATTGTATTTAAATACTCTCATAAAGTAGTTCAACTGAAGTCTCTGGAAATGCTTGCTAGAGAAGATCTCTGTTGGATTTAATGCATTCCTATCCAAATAATGGCATGACTGTAATGGCACCCAAAGGTGCCAGTTCGACTGTAGGTACCACCGTTCTAAGAACTCTGTCAATGGTAAAAGGAACTGGTGTCCCTATTCAAGGCTCTTACAATCAGCTTCACAGAAGAGTAGATGTCTACACATGTTTGGAAATAGAAACACTCCTGCAGGACGCAGGTCGCTCATGTACACTCAGTGAATCAGTCAGCTTCCCCAATACATTTCACCAAAAGAGCTTTATCTCTGATGTTCCTCAAAGGTCACACTGTATTCCAAAGATCATATAAACAAACTTGCTTATTGCCCAAGTTCCAGGACCACTGCAGATACTCCAAACAAGTCCTTCACCATCAGGAAAGATTTTTCTCAATGAATTACCTTCAACTCCTTTTAAGTTACATTTTTGCAGTGAGAACCTCCTCTCTGGCTGAGAGAGACACCTTGTTTCTAGACTCCCGGCTCAAGCAAATGACATGAAGTTTATTTGCCTGAGTCACTTCCCTGAATTTATGCCTCCTATACTCTTCCATAGAGAAGGTAGTGCAGGAGTGTCCTGCCTGTTCTGTTGTATGTTGTGGCACACCCAGAGGCACTAGGAAATGCACGTGGTCCTACAGCTTCTCCTAGAAGCAGCACCACTGTTACCAATTTAAAACACCGCCTTTAAATACAAAAATCTAAGAAGTGTTTTTGCTAGAAGGCAAAAAGAAGACACAAAACACCCAACAAACTTCTCTGGCTGGCAAATTTCTCCACAACACAAGAATTCTCATGGGGAAAGTATACAGGGAAAAAGCAGCAGATTATTAGAAACTGATGGGGTTTAGCTTGCACACATCTAGAGGGAATGATAAAGTCAAGCACTGGTCACAATGGACAGAAAAACACGACCTGTTTATTATTGCCATACAACTATGAAGGAAGTCTTCTTATCAGCTAGCAAAGTTTCTAAGGAATACAAATCTATGGAAAAACCATCCCTAATTGAACCAAGTCACAGCAATGAGGAGAGAGCATATTAATGAGGCAAGGCCAGGAGGCACGATGAGGAGATAACAATACCCTTAGGAGTTACACCAGTATTAAATGTGACTTTATTACCGTATTATTCTCCTATGAGTCTTTACAGCAAGAATAACTCTGTTTATACAGATGTTCTTTCAACCACCAGCTATTCCAGATTAAACACACACACAGAGAACCTTGATATTTTAAGATTACAGGCCATTAGATTAAATTAGATTTGTTATTTTGCTATAGTATGCCAGTAGGCTTTACAAGGTTGATATATTCTTTCAGTGAAACTGAGATGCATTAATTGAAATGAGATACCACACCTTTAATAATGCAGACTGATGTAGCTCTCTCACAGGATTTCTCATTCAATGCCTTTATTTTAATTCCTCTGAGTGCTACTAATAAGGTGCATTTTATCATTAAGAGGGCATGCTTCACTTAAGTAGTACATGCCGAGCTAAACTAAAATAATAGGCTACTTTGCTGTGACAAGGGGGATGCAGAGTTGATATTTATGCAAAATTAAGCAAGCCTGAACTCTGGTTTCCTACCCAAAGGTATCCACCAAAACTTCAGTGCAATTTAGACCACCCTACACTGCAGCATCCAGATTAAAGTAATGCTGGCAGAGAAAAAAGGAAGGCTTCTGGCACCCAGAAGGCCATCTCTGGTGAAAGGTGACAGGCCCAAGGAGTAAAAACAAAACCCCTAAGACCTCTGGAGCAGTGGAATTAAAAATTCCACTAATAAGGAATTTTAAAGAATTAAGGATTAAGGAGTTCCTTAATCCTTGCAGAGCTAAATGCTCATAACTTAATGTCTTGGCTGCCCATCTGCAAGAAGAGGAGAAGCCTCTCTTTCCAGTCCCACCACAGGAGAAATGTACTGCAGACCACGGGGTGGATTTCTGCAGCCTGACAACAATAGTGACAGCACTCACACAAGGATTTAAACCAGATGAGAATCAAACACAAGCAAGCCACACAACTTAATCGTTAGAAATAAAAATGCACAGTAAGCTGAGAGAGTTTTCAGTCTGTCCATTTCTACTTTAATTTCCTTGCATGGCACTATATTACAGCCTAAAACAGATTTTAAGCTGTTTTACACTGCTAACATTCTCACTAGCTTGTCTGCTCCATACAGGAGCAGGTTCAATAGCTCTCCTTGCAATTATAACAATTTCTTTTTTTTCATGTGGGAGAGATGTAATTTTAAATGGTCAGAGGGGAGCTGGAAGACACAACACACTGGACATTTCCTAACGTCTCTAGGCCAGGGAATAAACTGGTGAGAGACAAGTACAGAGCCAGCTGAAGCAGATGGACTTAGTAGCCAGACACAGCATGACCCCCATTTCTGCTTTTCACACAAATTGATAGGGCTTGGCACACTGAATGTTGATACCTTATCATTTCCTATTTTTTAAATTTTATTTCTTTTAAAGACTGACATTGCTTTTCAATAACTTTGTACTAGCATATAAAGTTCTGCATAATTCAACCAGTTCATATCATCCAGATTTAGAAGGGTGAATGCTGACCAGATTTTTGGAAGAGGTAATAACCCTCATGCTCCAGAGCTTAAGCCAAACTGGGATTAAAAGGAAATACGTGTTAGGCAAATTAAGCCACATTTGCTTCAGTGGCAGCTTCTTCCTTCTTTCTCTTAGTAGAAGCATCAACTCTGGGGACTGCTGGAAAGGCAGATGCTTCCCTCTCACACCACAGCTGTGGCAATGCTCCAGGCTCCCGACACATTCCCCCCAGGCAAGGGGACGTTTGCAAAATTAACAGTACCTTACAGTTCTGTCATTCAGGCATCAAGCAGATGATGCTTTAAAATTTGGAGGAAGCACAAGAAATTATTGATGGCCTCCCCTGTACACATTGAACTCTTGGACTTGCATGGAGGACAAGGAACTTAAGTGTTCTGCTCTGCTCACCAGGGTCTGTGCAGCACAAGAAATAGGCATGAGACCTCCTGCCACAGTGAACTGTGGAATAAACTGCCCAGGAGAGAAGTTTCTGCCTCACCCACAAGGTTCTGTTCTAATACAGGAAGACTTATAGTCCCTTAATTATTATCGTGCCTGGAGTGGCTGATGACAGCTTTGTTATCTACAGAGAATGCTCCACCATTGAGTTCTTGGCTTCATTAGCAGTCAGCAGGACTCATGGTCACAAGGTATTTTTATACCATATGTATGATGGAGTCACGTGCCTCTCTCCCTTGGTCCTCTGTCATAAAGAAGGCTATAGAGAAACTGCTGTATTGATCTTCCCAAGGCAAATGGTGTTTATGTGCACTTCACTTTTCCAAGCTTCATGCTCACCTTTCCTTGGCACAAAAGCCCTTCTTTTCACATTCATCATGGTTCCTCTGCCTCTGGTCCTACACCAGTCAGATTCACACCATGTCATGGCAAATTCCCTGAAGACTGACACAGCATTACCTTTCCAACTGCTACTGGACTAAAACATCACAGTCTGAAATTCACAGGGCTTCACAGAATCTTAAAGTCACAACGATTTTTACAACCTTTTGCCTAGTCACTTTCAGGAAAGAGAATCCACTGAGGCTTTCTAAAAGCTGCAGATTAAATTCAAAGCCCACAGCTGAAGGGAGCAGCTACCCTGGTATCTGGGTTTATGCCACCTTCACGCACGTTCTGTACCGGAAATCAGATGGAGAGCTATTTTCAGCGTCTCTATTGGCACATGCCAAAATATTTAACTATTAAATTTGACCCACCACCTGCCCATCTTTCCGTTTTACGGCGCGAGCAAACAGCAAGCACATCTATTTTTTCTGCCCTGCTTGAACAGCCAGACTAAATATCTCTCCTGGGTCGGCCGAGAGACGGGAACAGGGGCAGCAGGGTTGTCCCCGGCCTCGCAGCGGTGACGGCCCGCCCCTCCGCGCACTGCGGAGCGCTACCTGCGCGGCCGCCACCGCCGCCCGAGGCCGGGGAGCCGGCGGGGCGCGGGGCCGGACGTTTCCCGGCGGGGCGGGGGCCCTGGCCGCCCCGGGAGCGCCGGGGGCACGGGGAAGCATCCGCGTCCGCTCCGTAGCTCCGCGCACCTGCCCGGCTCTGTTTACAGCCGTCCCGTTCATGCCAGCGCCGGGGGCGGGGAGGGGAAATGCGATTAACAGATTAAGTTTGGAAGCGACCGAAGGGGGGCGGGGGCCCATCCAAAGGCGCGCACCCTGCGCGGGGACTGAGCGGCGGCTCGCTCGGCCCCGGCTGCTTTCCCCGCAGCGAGGAAAGCTGGGGAGAGAGGCGGGAAGGCCGGGATAGAGATCGGCGTGGAAGAAAACGCCCACAGTCCCCGGGGGGACAGCGACCGGGGGGGAGGGAAGGACACCGGGTTGTCCCGCGGGGTGTCCCCGATGGGGTCAGGCGCCCGCACCCCTGCCATCCCGCGGGCTTACCTCGATCCATTTCTGAGCCTCGGTGAAGGCCAGCTCAGGCTGGGGGGGCTCGGCCGGAGGCTGAACCTCTCCCAGCTCCAGCCCAGGACTGGCCATCTGCAGGGCCCCGGCGCGGCGCGGCTGCGGCGGCGGAGAAGCCAGGCACCGAGTCGCCAGCCCGGGCTGAGCCGCGGCCGCAGCGGGGGGACGCCGGAGGCCGCTGCCTGTCTGTCCCTGCCTCTCCCTGCTCGCAGCCGCCGGGGCGGGAGCCGGGGGCGGCGGCGCTCCGCAGCCCGGCTGGCTGCAGCTCGCCTGCGGTAACCTCTCTCCGCCGGTGCCCCGTCCGCCCGCCCGCCCTGCCGGCTCGGTCCTCCCTCGGCTGCCGCCCCGCCCGCCCCGCCGGCGGAGCGGAGCTGCGCTGCGCTGTCCTGAGCTGCCAGCTAAAAATAAAACAGACGGGCGAAGCCGCTTTGCCTTCAGCCCATGCAAATGCCCGCGCCGCCGCCTCCCGCCGCGAGCATCGCATCGCGGGCGGCGCTGCGACCGGGGGGAGGGTGGGCGGGGGACTCGGGCACCCCGCCATGGGCACGGGCACGGGGACGGGGACGGTGATGGCAAGGCACTCCCTGCTTGGGAAAGAGCCGCTCCCCTCACCCCGCTGCTCCCGGGGAGGGGGGGACTCGCTGGCAAGGCTCCCCTGCTTTGGGGGGCAGCCTGTCCCCCACCCTCAGCTCTCGGAGGGCACCGAGCCGCACACGGTGAATTGCTGTTTGCTGCTTTAAACACCTCATTAATCGATGTTGCTACGCGGAGCACCGAGAATGTCCGTGCCCGCGGCGGGAAGCGCGCTGCTCCCGGCCCGTCCCGCACCTGCCTGCGGGCCGGGCGCTCCTGCGGCGGCGCGGCACGGCCGGGGCTGTGTGGCACTGCGGAACAGCTCCTCGGCTGCTCGGGCCGGCACCGGCCCTGCCAAAACGCCTGAGGGCCAGCGCAGGGCTGCGCTGCCTTAGTCCTCCTTGAGAAGCAGAGGAGGCATCAAGGTGGGCTTGAAAAGATATACCATGGGTGAATACTTCCCGCTTTTGTCTTTATGCAGAGGAAGAAATCCAACTCTGTCCTGCAGAGGCTTGCATGCCTAACTTACACGGTGTGAGTAGTCCTAGATCCAGCAGATGCTTTTTAGCCTAAGGTTAAGCATAGAAGTTTCTAGAAACAGAAGGAAATTTTTTTTTTTTCACCAGGCCTTTTAAAAGACAAATCCTAAAAGTCTCCTCTCACGAGTGTTCAAAACACGAGCCAAAGTTACTTGCTTATATTTATGAAAGCACAGAAAAGTATCTGTGTGGTGGAAATGCAGGTGTGTGAACTTTAACCCCTACTACTAAGGTTCTTTTGTCAGGGGTCATAGCTGGCCACTTCTTCAGCTTGTGATAGGTGTCAACAAGTTTTGACAAGAAGCAAACTGTAGGATCTACTTTTCAACATGCCCTTAGTTTGGGCTTATTTCCCCTCAGTTGAGTAGCTGGGATTTTAAATCTTGTTTATTTTGATAATCAACAAAAATTACCAACTCTTAAAATATAAATATACCACAAAAATGCATATATTTAACTCTGTTTCCATTCTAGGAATTTGTCTTTATTGTTCACTACCTTTTTTTTGGTCTTTGTTTATTGCCTCAAATATGCTGGAGTAACAAAGGGCCTAAAAACAGGATATAAAGTTTATAGGGATTTTTCTGAGAACTGCAACAAGACAAAAACTAAATGAATGGGCAATCTAATCTCAAATATTTAAAGATAAATAAGAAGTGTATTTTGAAATACTTACGCTAACAATCTATTTTCTGAATCTTGTAATATTTAAATAACATTGATGTTTATCAGACAACAATTAGATTCACTCTCCTGGGGCAGTAAAAGACTAACAATTTAAAATAATTATCCTACCTCTTTTTTTTTTTTTTTTTTTATTACTGTGCAATATCAAATGCATGATTTTCCTGTCTGGTGATCTCAGCATCACCTCTTGGAGAACTAGAAGAGCCGGATTGGGCTGGGATAAGCCCTTGTCTAGAAGTGAGGGGTGGACATTCATTTCCCATTTAGGCAGTCAATTTTCATGGATCATTAAAGAAAATGTGCTCTGATACACACTTCTTTTTATACTCTTCCGGTCAAGCACACACAACTTTTTAAATTTACTAAATCCTCACAGCACCACATCGATATAGAGCTAGTGCAGTCTTTAAAGAGCCCTGTTATGTATTTAGGAGTGTAAAAGACTCTGACTGGCACTAGGAATCTGGCCACTTCTTTTCTAATCCTAATCCTGAACCAGCTTCTCATTTGGTCAAGTACGAGGCAGCATCCGTACCTCCCTGTTCCCATGGAAACACACTTCTAGCATCAGCCCAGCTTACTTTCTTTTTTTTTTTTTTTTTAAATCACCATCTGCCTGGGGAGTTGCAGAGCTTGCTCTAAGCCCCTTGAATACCAGTCACAGGTTTTTCAACGATTCTCCGTTCCGTATAACAACCACCCTGACTGCTGCAGAAGACAAAATATGAAAAATAGAATGTTAGAAACTCCAGCAAGGTTTTCCCAAGGTCACTCAGTTGCTCCTAACCAGAAACATTGCTAGAAACTTAGTGGTGGAATTTGTAGCAGCAAAAAAAAAAAAAAAAAAAAAAAAAAAAAAAGAGATTTTTTTGGTGACGTTCTTTTCAAAATTCTCTATTTAAAAGCAAGTCCTTCAATTTAACTTCTTCTTTTTTCTTTCCAGAAAAAAAAACCTCAAACCAGCACTTCAACAATCCTTATCAACACTCTCATATCTGTATTTATTAAACAGGAGAAAACCTGTGGGGGTGCAGGTATCGGTGTCAAATTGCATATCTTTGTCCAGGTTCAGTTACCCTTCCCAAAAGCAGACTGTGCCTGTGCATAAGTAAAGTAACTGTAGAAAAATGCATAATACAGTGGTTATAGGAGAAAGCAGAAACAGAGAAAGAAGGTCTCTGGTTTGCAGGGATCTTTATGCTGCTGTGCACAAATGGAAAAATAGAGGCTTTGAGGAAGATATGTTTTAGGTATTCAGCTTATATTAGTTGGTTTGGTGGGGCTGGCCGGGGTTCACTGGGAGGCACCCAGAGAGACGGAGACAGTCTTCTACCTTGTCTAGTTTCCTCTGCTGGGAACAGGAACTCTCCTGTTTCTTTTTGCCTTCAACTAGCATCTAAAATTGCTAAGCCTCTTGAGTAGCAGGAGCAGAGGTTTAATAAGGCCTGACTGCTGTTCTGGCAGGCCTGATCTTATCCCATGGCAGCAATGAGCAGCTTGCTTCAAGGAAGCTGTGTCCTGAACAGCTTCTGCCACTATGATCTGTCTCCCTCAATGAACAGGTCTGGTGTTCAAGACCAAGCTCTCAGCAAAACTACTCCTAGATGGCATCTTTGTAGTCTTGCTAGTCTTTCTGGTTGTATTAGCCTGACAACAAACCTTTTCCTTCAAAGCCTATCTGTCACAAATGCTTCCAGCAACATGTGTAGCCTCCATTTGAAAAACATTTCTTTTATCAAAAAACATGGCACAGAGAACAAATGGGAGAAACACCCAAGGATCATATATTTCTATTCTATTTTACCTTGCTCATTTGCCTTTTCTGTGTGAGCCAATGTACCTTAAACCAGCAAGGCCCCATGGCTGTTTAAGAAAGGAAGTTACCCTGCTGGCATCACAGCTTTTCTGCCTCCTTCTCTCCTTCACAACCTGCCACTCCTGGCTGAAATTCTCTGAGCAGTACTTCTTTTTTTCTCCAGACCATAATGGTCTGGATGTTGCACAGTCCTGGGCCAGATCTCAGAGAAATCTGAGCTGAACCACAATCATACTGTTCTGGCTAACTATCTTCCCTGTTGTTTGCTCAAGGACTTCTACACATTTCTTTGGTTTGCTTGTCTTTTTTGTGCCTAAATCACTGAATAGCATGCAGAGAACTTGAGATTGTATGGTATTTATTGTAAAAATTCTGCTTGGAATCCCTTCATTTTCTAAAGCATAAGCCAGGGGTAGGCAGACCCAGCAGAGCTCTGTTTAACCTCCAGATCATTTCAGAGCTGCAGTGTCTGAGCTGCCATGGGTCTCACAGTTGCATGGCTGCCTGGTGATGCTGCGGGAGCTGGACAGCTCTGGCAGAAAGATGTTGGTACTAATGCTTCTCAACAGGTCTTAACCCTGCCAGAGGGTATTTGGAGATTTCTTTACTGACTTTACTGCCTTTACTGACAAAGGCAGGCTGTGCATTTTCATGGCCTGTCCTGTGTGGAGGGGTGAGTTGAGAGCTGAGCTGAGTTGAGCAGGTGAGAAGAGCCCTTGAAGCATCATCTATCAAGGCAGAGGAGAGTGGTGGAAAAGATGGTTACCAAGAGTTTAGAATTCTTTTCCTTGATAAAACAAGATTCAGAGACAGTTCTACTCTCAATAACATGCAAGTTGTCTTGGAGAGAAGGCTGGTAATACTATCCACTTGGAAGCAAGGCATAGAAAATCCCTACTTTTGAAAAATTACTTTTTAAATGAGCTTTAGTTATTTTTAATTCTCGTGAAAAATCAATGATCTGTGACCATGAGAGCATGTTGATTTTTTCCAACCACTCAGACAAATGTTGTGACTTCACATTTCATTTAATCAGGGCATCTGCTGTGGTATATTTGCAGTGTTCAGCATTTGGCTGACAGCATCTGTTTGTTTATCCCAGCCATGCTGTCTTCTATCACAGTCACTTTCTCTCTGGTACCACTCATTCAGCAACATATTGTTAGGCTTGGCATTGATGCTCTGTGTGGAATTACAGGAGTAGATGAATCGTCTGAATTTGCTCTTTCCTGGAAGAATAGCATGATTATCCCTTCTCACACTGTCCTGGAAGAAGGTGAAGCCTTTTTGTGAAGCAGTTTTTCTCTATTTTGAACTTTTATATAGATTTTTGAAAGCTAGTACAGCCAATTGTCATCTGGTAGCTGAGCACCATTTGATATTTTCCTATTTTTCTGTCTTTGCATTTAATTAAATTTTTAGATTTTAAAAGCTGTTGAAAATCCAGGTTTGGCTATACCACATTGCTATTTAATGAACTATAAGCCTAATGAATCCGAGTGCAGGTGATTCAAAATGAGAGCTCATATGCATAAATGCATGTAAATATTCAATATCGTTTACAAGCTGTAATTTTGAGGGAGTTCCCCATCCTCTGTTCCCTGTCTAAGAAATCCCTGATCAATATCTCTTTGTTTTAAATGTTGCTGTGCCTTTAGTTGTGAGGTTTTCCTGCCTGGCCTTCCTTTCTGGCTCTGAGACTTGCTTCTACCTCTCCTGGAGGCCTCCAGATCCCAGGCTGATAGCTCTGCTAATGG